GTGTTTGTGATATAGTGTAATTATGGGACATAGGCTGACAGTGTTTTATTTAACACAACCTAAAACACTAGAAAAACTATGTTTCACACTTCTACGCTTAGTCGTGAAGAAGTATAGAAAGACAATTTCATCCTGCAAAGCGACAATTCGTATGTTTGTTTAAGTAAAGCTCTTGACTTCGCCGAGCTTTTAATCTCCAACATTTCAGCCTGAATCCTCAGACATTAACAAGTGAATAACTACCACATGACATTGTTTGTTCATATTTTATTCACAGAAATATAAAGTAGTATGTCAAGTACATCACTTTGTACAAAATTGCACAGACTCTTCAAAACTCACTCAGACAACAGAAAAATTCAGCTTTAAGAAGTGTTAAGAAAATAAATGGGAGACGTGAGCCAATCTGTGATATGTGAGATGGACTGTTGCGACAGACGGGTTTCACTGAGGATGTTTCGTCAAGAAGAATCAATCAACTCTACATAAATAAGACTCGATAGGAAAAATGTCATTTACAACAGCCGAAGAATAAATATGTTTCAAAAATAGGATTCAAATTGGCACATGAACTGCTTTGTCTGCTCCACCCAATCAAAATGTAACCTTCGAAGCTAAATGGCCATGCTTGATGAGACAGACGCTGAGTCTTGATATGTTTGTTCAGACTGAACTAAAGTGTTGCATAAATATTGTAGCTGCTTCCAGTGACTTTGACGCTGCACTTTGACTTATATGAAATAAACAAATTATATATGAGTTAATTAGCTATTGCTTTAGACTCAGATAATTTAAGCTAGTCTGGAACAAAATCTAGGTCTACCTATTGCCCACATTATGTCTTTCATTTTGTTTCATTGAGCAAAAATTTAAAAACAACAAGTTATCATTTTACAAGGGGATGTATGCTGGAATATTTCTTGGACGGACTCAATCACTAATTGCTTGGAATCTTTACTGGTCCAAGAAGTTTTTGACATTTTGTGAAATGTGATTTTACATGAAATAAACAAATGAGATACAGGTTGTTAAGATAACAAGCAAGGTGGTGGAGAATGGATTTTGTTAGACAGCGCTAGGCGAGCTGTGCCCAAACCCCTGTTTCCAATCTTTACGCTACATTACTTTTTATAAAAACAACTGCTTAAGGATTTAGGAAAAATCTTAATATCACTGTTGGGTCAGTATAACACACATTTTTCTTTTCAAGCATGGTCATCTAGTACTGTTAATCTGACTAACTGTTCCAGTTCAGCCACATGTTCACCTGCAGGCTTCACAAACAGTGCACAATACTCCCACCTTCCTAGCAAACATGTCTCAAGCCCCCCCCCCCTCTGCTGGATTTGGTATAATAATATCTTCAAGGCATTACTTCAAAGTGAACTCCTACATTAACAGCATCTCTAATCTACAGGTTATCGATATGATGAGCTTGAATACAGAACCAGCATAAGACAGAGGGACCCTGAAACCATGTTTGGAAACACTACTGTAGCACACCAATCATTGAAAAACATTTGGACTCCACACACACTCATAGAAATAACCCAGTATGACACCTCGCCATATTCATACGGTCTGAACTTGTATTGTTCATTTTCCGTTTGATGCTTTGAAACTGATTTTTAACTCAAAATATGACCACCTGTTGCAGCTACCAACAAAACTGTGAGAACGAAACCATTTCAGTCTGTGGAGATATGAATGTTCGGTACGCCTTAAGCAGAAACCGATGAGTAAAATAATCACCTGCATTTATTTCATGGGCCGTTGTGAATATATGTCAACATCCTCTCCTTCAACGCTGTAGGCAACAATCCATTCAAGTCCAAGGTAACTGTCAGGCACTAAGACCCTTTAGGCTGTACACATTTCAAGAAAACATCTCGGGGCTAACACTAACACACCCATGATTGCTGCACTGATGTTAGTGTAGAGGAGAGACTTTGTAGGGAAACCCCACAGGGACAGTGAGGATATCCGGGACAGACTCAAAGCAGCTTTACAAACATTATTCGGATGCTCTCGGGAGCTCTGAAGGGAGGGACTATTTCTTCAGGGTCATTTTAATCTCTCAGTCCTCCAGCGGAGTGGTGAGACGGGCTCTGCTCCCAGGGAACTGTGGGCAAGGGTGAACAGGAAATGGTTAGAAGAGGTGAATCAAAGCCACATGACCCCACGAGATGACTTCCTCTTGCTTTCTCCACCTATGTTTATCTTCTCCATTGTGTTTTCTACATCTCAACCTCTCTGTTCTACCTGTAGCCCTCTATACACGTCTGTGTACCCCCGTCCTTGACAAGTAAATTTGAAAGAGCCTGAGGGATTTATCAGCATAGACACGTGGTTTGGCATGATCTTACCCCCTTTCTCACGTCAGAGGAACAGGAAATTGCCTTGATACAAACAAAACAATGGATGATCCTGTGATTTGGATCATTTTCATCATCCCATGTCACCACCGACTTTCTGCATATCATCCAGTCCAGAAAATACATGACTGAACCCTGCCCTGGGTGGTTTTAGTAGAAAGAATACTGGTTCTCCACAGCTCGGGCCCTGCGGGTCCCGTCAGCATCATGGTAGTCCTCAGATGCCCCAGTAGAGGCCTCCAGCAGACGCTCAGAGCTGTTGCTCCGGCTCTGTAACCCTCCTCCCACTCCTCCTCCAGTACCTGGGTCGCTGCGGGAGAGGGAGGGAAGTGTGGTGGGCGATGAGGAGGTGCTCGAGGAGAGCGGGGTGTCAGGGGGAGGCCCTGCAGGCGCTGTCATCCCAGGGGGATGGAGGGTTGGCTGGGCCAAATCTGTCCGGCAGCCTGCATCCCTGGGTGGAGTGGGGACTGGAGGCACAGTCACATCTTTAGTCATGGGGAGGAGAAGACAGAAAGAGTTTAAATACACAGGCTGAATAATATAGATTCATCTGTTTTGCTGATGATTTTTTTCTACTGGTGAGCTGTGAGCAAAAAGCTCCTTCACAGAGCAGCATGTAAACACAGGCAGTGTGGGCCTCATTTATTATCCTTTCTCTTGGTGGGCAATAACACCGACAACACTAGTGCCAAAGACACGCCTGACCAGTGTATCAATAAAGCCTTTTAAACGCCCTGAATCAAACCCTTACTCTATGTGCATGGGAGTTAGTGCATGAGTCTGTGTAGGTCCAGCATTTGGGGAAACAGAGGGCCTCTTTGTGACCACCAGGGTGGGTTGGGGCCGGAGTCTCGGCCTGCATGCAAAACTCCTGTGGTATAATCGCCCACTCACTCTCCTGTACAGGAGGGCATTCATTTCATGCCAGGAGAGCGGAGGGCAGGAGCAGAGTTGGTGAGTTGGTGTGTTTGTATGTGTGTGTGTGTGTGTGGGGGGGGGGGGG